GGCACTGCCATGGGGGACATGTACTATAATAAGACATGGGGTGCCGGGCACTGCCATGGGGGACATGTACTATAATAAGACAAGAGGAGCCGGGCACTGCCATGGAGGACATGTACTATAATAAGACATGAGGAGCCGGGCACTGCCATGGGGGACATGTACTATAATAAGACATGGGGGGCCGGGCACTGCCATGGAGGACATGTACTATAATAAGACATGGGGGGCCGGGCACTGCCATGGGGGACATGTACTATAATAAGACATGGGGAGCCGGGCACTGCCATGGGGGACATGTACTATAATAAGACATGGGGAGCCGGGCACTGCCATGGGGGACATGTACTATAATAAGACATGGGGAGCCGGGCACTGCCATGGGGGACATGTACTATAATAAGACATGGGGAGCCGGGCACTGCCATGGGGGACATGTACTATAATAAGACATGGGGAGCCGGGCACTGCCATGGGGGACATGTACTATAATAAGACATGGGGAGCCGGGCACTGCCATGGGGGACATGTACTATAATAAGACATGGGGAGCCGGGCACTGCCATGGGGGACATGTACTATAATAAGACATGGGGAGCCGGGCACTGCCATGGGGGACATGTACTATAATAAGACATGGGGAGCCGGGCACTGCCATGGGGGACATGTACTATAATAAGACATGGGGAGCCGGGCACTGCCATGGGGGACATGTACTATAATAAGACATGGGGGGCCGGGCACTGCCATGGGGGACATGTACTATAATAAGACATGGGGGGCCGGGCACTGCCATGGGGGACATGTACTATAATAAGACATGGGGAGCCGGGCACTGCCATGGGGGACATGTACTATAATAAGACATGGGGGGACGGGCACTGCCATGGGGGACATGTACTATAATAAGACTTGGGGAGCCGGGCACTGCCATGGGGGACATGTACTATAATAAGACATGGGGAGCCGGGCACTGCCATGGGGGACATGTACTATAATAAGACATGGGGAGCCGGGCACTGCCATGGAGGACATGTACTAGAATATGACATGCCACCTCCTCAGCCCCCCTCCCCCCACCACCACTCAGAGTGAAGCAACACAGCAAGATATGGACCCAGGAGGCTTCATCCCACCCAACGCTCTTCAAAGCATCCAGGCTTCAGGACCCAATCCAGGACTTACCAACCTCTGCTTGTTTACTGTTCATGTCTCTGCCTGCTGCCTGGACCGCCCTCTGCCTGTGTACCAACCACGTCTCTGCCTGCTGCCTGGACCAACCTCTGCCTGTGTACCAACCATGTCTCTGCCTGCTGCCTGGACCAACCTCTGCCTGTGTACCAACCACGTCTCTGCCTGCTGCCTGGACCATCCTCTGCCTGTTTACTGACCATATGAAATGCACCTGTAGTAGGGTCCGAAGTGGATCTTAGGCTGAGGGTAAGGTGAAGACGTGGTCAGGCAGGCAGGGTCGGCAACAGTCTGGCAGCGAGGTACAAAATCGGGATCCAGGAGAGTAGTCAGGAGGCGGGCTGAGGTCTTGACACGATCGGGCAGCGAGGTACAATATTGGCAGGCAGAAGAATAGTTGGGAATCAGGCAAGAGTCAGAGTGTAAATCCAGGATAGAACACAGAGGCAGCTCACACAGGAAGTAACCCAAATCAACAGGCTCAGAGCACAGGAAGTGTCCGGTATTTAAAGCCTGAGATAATTGCAGATCTTCTACAGCTGGTTGGCAGGTGGAGCCAAAGTGTCCATAAGGAGAGATGCCGAGTACACAGAACCTGCAGCAGAAACCAAGTTCTTCCAGTGGCTGAATGGCTAGGTCTGTGCACTTCCGGCGCAAGAGACCCGGGTTCAAACCCTGAACAGGAGCTGATCAGACAGGTATGTGACACCATGTCTCTGCCTGCTGCCTGGACCGACCTCTGCCTGTTTACTGACAATGTCTCTGCCTGCTGCCTGGACCATCCTCTGCCTGTTTACTGACCACGTCTCTACCTGCTGCCTGGACCATCCTCTGCCTGTTCACTGACAATGTCGCTGCCTGGACCATCCTCTGCCTGTTTACTGACCACATATCTGCCTGCTGCCTGGACCAACCTCTGCCTGTTTACTGGCCACATATCTGCCTGCTG